ATTATAACGCCACCACGGCTGACAGGCCGAGCATGTATGGTAGAACGGGGATTCGAACCCGCGACCCTCAGATTGCGAGTCGAGTTCCCTATCCACCTGGCCATGCCGGGCACGAGAGCAAGTTTAACACAACATATAACATGAGGATTCTCCACTTAAACAATCCAAGAAGTGCTACGGAAGACTGATTTTAAGTGCAAAGCTGCACAATGGCCTATCAACACTGCGCCTACCGTGGGAATTGAGCCCCGAATATTAGCGTTATAAGGCAGTAAAGTGAGAAGAAATAACCGATTATATTTAATTTATTTAACCCAATTATATTCAAATTAGGGTTATAAAATTTATCAAAACGAAAAACCATTATCTGTAAAATAATAATTAGTAAATAACTATTATTGTTGTGTTCAGTTGGTAACAAATAGATCCAAAAATAACAATAATAATACTAGTAATACCACTGATGCTTTCTTAGACGCGTGTATTACGTCATAGGAGTTTAATGTTAAATCTCTAAAGTTACGTTAGCTCCTCAGATGTTGAAACAGATAACAACTTTCTAAGTACAGATAGGAGGATTAAGATTTTAATTAAACTTATGAATATTTTATCCAATGATTATTATTCTGCTGTACGCTGTTTACAAAAAGGATTTTCCTCATACATTTCACTGTTGGTGATATCTTACCCTGAGTAAGTGGAAAATAATTTCGTGTAGCTAGGAAACATTTACAGAACTTATAACTAAACTTGCTTAGTGAATGTACAAAACCGGATGTTCCTTTAATCTGCGTAAGACACGGGTTATATTGTTTAAAAGATCAAAACTAATCAACAAAATAAATTAAACAAGAAATTATAAGATGCGTCATCAAAAACAAAATTAACGGAAATCAAAACTGAATAATAAACTTGCTTGTATTTATGTAATGCAAAGTGTATGGTATAATATCCTGGAAGATCTATGTTAAAAATATTATGAAACTGGTTTATAAAAGCGAACTACACTTACAAAGAATTATTAGTACATTTATTTGTTGTAACACAAGTCAACTCTAAACTTTATAAAACAAAACTTTTAATTTAAGATGAAGGTGTGTACGGAATACATTTGTTCTGTTAGCCGTTAGAATACTTAAATCTACACCTATCGACATTTTACATACACGGATAGTATCTACAGGTACAATGAATACAAAAAAAATATTTTTCTTTATCAAAGTGATACTTTGGAAAATCCAAAGCATTTAAAAATACCATCCACGAAGTTTTAAGATTTTAGTAATGAATGTAATACATTTTATTCAGATTTTTATTATGTGACTTAAACCTTGGAGTGTAAACTTATTTTCGCGGTTTATTGGTCTGGTTCTCTATTTTTTGTATCTCTAAATATATCCATTTTTTCATTGTTTCATAGGAGTTGAAAAAAATCTGTTTCAACTTTCTGATTTTTTTTCTCTAGATTTTTATGGATTAAAATTATTTAATATTAATCTAATATATTTTTTACTGTCTTTATTCTTTATTTTTTCACCGTTTCAATGTTTATACGTTTACTGTTTTTAGATTTTAAAATGATTTAAACTCTCTCGTTTGAAAGCTAACTTTACTTCATTTTAATCTCAAATAAAAACTAATTATACAATTCTTAATCTTTATTATGAATTCTATATTCGAGCTACCAAGGACATTATAAACATTTACACTAAGGTATGCCTTTTGATATATTCTTGTATTGTTAAAGGTTAATTCCAGCAGTAGGGCATCATTAATGATTACCCTTGTTGAAACTGATTAACAGATTACAATGTACAAAGCAGCAAGTAAGGAGAATCTGTGTGTCAAAACCTATAATTCGTTAATTCCTTCTTGTTAGGCAGCTAACCGGTTAGGATTAAGAGACTATCAAGTCTTTCAATCTTCAAGGCTTTGTTTGTTTGTTTTGAATTTTGCGCAAAGCTGCACGAGGGCTATCTGCGCTAGCCGTCTCTAATTTAGCAATGAAAGACTAGGGAAAAGGCAGCTAGTGATCACCACCCACCGCCAACTCTTGGGCTACTCTTTCACCAACGAATAGTGGGATTGACCGTCACGTTATAACGTCCCCACGGCTAAACGGGCGAGCATCTTTGGTGGAATGGGGATTGCCAGTCAAGCGCCCTAACCACCTGGCCATGCCGGGTCTCCTCTTCAAGAAAGGAATGATTATTGAATGCTTCTAGTATGAGTGGCTTTTGATATTGTTATTATAATGGAGGAATGTGACATTCATCTCATATTTCTTTATGAAGGCTTACAACGCTAAAAGCTGGGTTTCAATTCCCATAGTGGGCACTTCACAGATAGCCCACTGTGTAGCTTTGTGTTTAACTACAAAAACAATACACGCAAACAAAATGTTTTTGATTGACCCGGGGTCTGCGGACTTACAACGCTAGAATCCAGATTTCGATACCCGTGGTGGGCAGAGCACAGATAGCCAAACGACTGACCCGGAAAGCGACTCGACAACAGGAAACCCTAAACTACTACACAATAAACGTAAGTAAATAAAATACGTCATTAAGTAACTGATGTTACCATCAAACTAAAATTATTCCTAAATTTAAAAACAAAAATGGCCTGGTTCGTTTTTTTTCATCTTAAAAAATTTCCTTTCTTGAGCTAAAATTGTTAGTGCTTTTTCGTTCCTGATTCAGGATTGAAAAAAAATTAGAAACAACATAAAATGTGTCCGTTATTTACTAGTCTGCTCTTTTTAGCGCAAAGCTACAGAATGGGCTACCTGCGCCCTGTCCACCGAGGGGACTCGGACCCCAGTGGGTTACCAGTTTTTTCCATATAAATCCTTTCTATGAATTTTTCTAAGGGTTAAGATTTTGGTACTCGTTTATAGGTTGATTCAAGAATAAAATTTGGAAACATATTAAATAACTCCCTCTCAAGGCTTGCTACTTGTACATCAGTCCTGACAGTAGCAAAAATCACAGATCTTACAAGATACAGGCAAGTGCATCGAAATATAGTTTAAAAATATGTTAAAAAGACAAGTTGTTCATATCAACAACTTCAGCAAATAAATGTTAAAAGATTCTTAAAGATCTGCTTAATAAATTTTATACTTTTTATATTTATGGCAAAGCTACTACCATCCCTAATCTTAAGCCCTCTGGTGGTTCAGCGATAAGTCTGAGAGTTTATGACGCTCAAAATCGGGTTCCGCTACTCGCGATGGGCACAGCACAAACGGCTCCTTGTGTAGCTTTGCGCTTAAAAACAAACAAACAAAATTCTACTTTTGATCTATTGGCCAGATTGAAGGTGACAAGTAAGCAGCATTCTCCCATCCACCGGCCACACTGATTGATTTACTCTTATAACGCACCCATAGCTTAGAAGTAGGGGAATGCAGAGCTCTACCACAGGGCCAATCAATGTTTTATACTTAGCAAAAAACTAAAAAATAAACTTTAACTTTTGTATATTTTATATAATTAATGCTGTTTTATTATTGTCAATATTTGATCGTGTTTTTGTATCTAGCATTCTACTTTGAATTTCATTTATTTCCCCAGTTTTATCTATTGTAATTTAATTATTTCCCCCCAGTTTGTAATTTAATCATTTTCTGAAAGATTCAATTTATTATTTTTTAATTGAAGCTTTATTTTAATAATTTCAACGTTTTAACTTTAAATTGTTAGAACTTTACGCTTTTCATAACTCGTGTTGTAAATTGTGTTGGTAGAGGAGAGGTCTTATGACCCTTTATGGAAAACAAACACCTCAGGCTGGGTTTTGTTACTTGTTTGGTAAGTCCTCTTCACAAGACAGGTTACCCTTATCAACGGGTCTCTCTCTATCTTCTAAATACTTTTTTCTATGCACTATTTATCACATAAACCTTATTGTACAAGTTCATTCTAAAAGTACGCCGGTGGATTAACGACGGGCGTTAAACTTACGGACTTACAACACTGAAATCTAGGTTTCGATTCCCTGTGGTAGACAGATCGCAAACAGCCCATTGTGTAGGTTTGCACTAAAACAACAACAAAAAAATCCTTCTAGAAGATTTGTTTTTATTTCCTTCACAAATAACGGCCCTTTAACAAGAGATCTGGCGATAAACCACACGTGTTTCTTCATAAACAATAGAATAACTAATAGGATCTCAACGTCTGTTGTTAAGCATGAATTGAAACCCGATTTTTAGCGTCATAAACCCAGATATTTACAGCTAAACCACTGAAGGATGGACTCAAATTTACTGAGCGATGAGACTGTGATGCCCATAAAGTAATTTCTAAATGTACGTGTGTCTGTGCCAACTTAACTTTTGGACAAAACGGCTGAAAATCTGCATGTAGGTTCTTGACCCCCCTGCAACATAAACGAAAAATAATTTTTAGAAAACTCTTAATTAAGGGGATTCCAAATCCAAAAACGAGGGATCAGGGATTTGACTGAACGCAGTTACTTTAATATATTAGCATGTAAGGAGCCATTCAAAACATGATCTAAATGTTGATTTTGGAAAGTTTCCAATTGGAACCCCATGTGGAAGTCAAAAGGGCCTGTAGAGCTTTCAGGATTGGATCTACAAGAAAATTTGTATGGTCGTTTAAGGTATCGTTCAAACCACGAATCTGCTTTTACATTTTGTAAATTTTTCATTTTCCCTATATGGAGGGTGAAGAGTGTTTCGGAGCTTCGCGAATTGCTACATGGATTTACTTGAAAATTGATAAGAATCCTTAGAATGATCATTCAAAACGAGATGCTGAATACATTTTTTTAATAGTTGTTATTTCCAGTAAATTTTCACGGTTAATTTAATAGTTTGTATATCTAGTTATTAAATTAAGCTTTCTTTCAAAACAAAATTAAATACTCAGCAGCATAATGACGAAACATAATGTCGTAATGTTGTTCTTTCGTTGGAGGGTTCCTTTAAACTATCTGGTGAAAATAATTCAAAGTCCAGTCCACGTTTCCACACAGGCTTGTACATTTTGTAACTTGCAAGTTGTAGGCCTAAGTAACTTTTCAAATGACGCTCAAACGGAAATACGTCGACTAACATAACAAGTAAACATACTTGTATAACTTCACGTCTGATCGATAAAGCAACTGAAAACAAAACACTCTCTGATTAACTATCTATGCTTCACTGATTCACTCTTCAAGCTTACCTAACTTCTTGGCTGACTCACCCGTATTTATATCCAATCCTGGTTCTAGATATTTCTAGGCCTACTATCACAAATATACTTTAATCTTAACTTACAACAAAAAAATGCAGCTTATGACAATACCATAACACCAGGATACAAGCTACATGGTAGGAATATATAAAAAATACCCTGGTTTTGGAGGTGTCTGAAAAAAATAGGACCTAAATGGTGGTGGGGATTCGCCGTCTACCAGACTTAACCTCACATTGGTAAGCATATTTTACTTGCTGCTGCATTGTGGACAGCTAATGGGATCACAAAATTAACCTCGAACCTCTTAAGCACATTTGAACACGATGGATGCATCCTAGACATTACGTCCTCATAAAGGTCACACGAACACAACTTAAACTAATAAGTAGAATAGTTATTTTATATTTTCAGTGTTTGGAATGTTCTCGTAGCTAATCTTATCAGGAAATCCTTCTTACAATCATTTTGTGAAATCTTCTCCCTCCCTCCCTTTGCACCATGTTCTTTCCGTTATAACTTTCCCTCACCATGAATGACCTGAACATTTCTTAAAAATCTTGTAAGAGCATATTAAATGCAGTAATCGTGAAAACGTTTCAATAAATCAAGTGATCCGTCTCTTTGTACTGTTGTTGTAACCACTGGATTAAACTATAAGGATTTTGAATTATCTAGAATACAACAATATTAACAGTAAACTGTCCACTAATAACTGGAAGTTACATGTATGTTCTATAATCATCACACCTGTATACTTTTCGCCCCACAGTTATAGCGCGAGAGTTTCCACATACATGTACTGATGTGACGTTACTGATTTGTCTGTTGGGATTTCGTGCCAAGCTAAACGAGAAATGTCTGTGCATAGCTGTCCCTAATTTTGAAATGATAGACTACATACACTGTCGGAAGGCAGCTAGTCAGCACGACCAACCCCCATCTCTTTAACTATTCTTGTCAGACTGGATAATGGATTTTACCGTTATTCTTATAACGCACACACATCCCTAAAGTGCAGAGTGCGTTTTTGTTTTCCAATAGTTCAGTGTTGTCAGCGTACTGTTCTGCAGGTGTGGTAGGTTATTGTTACCTTGTGGTTATTATAATTATGCTCCAGTTAATTGTTTCTGATTGGCGTAACTGGAAGCTGATAAAAATGCAAAAACAATCTCTGATTTAGCGCCATTAGTATTACTAGCTTTTAATGAGAGGTATCCCTCGGCTACGTTACAAGTAGTACAACAGTACTTGACGGATACGTTACACGTAGTACCACAGTATATGATGGATACGTTACACGTAGTACAATAATACATGATAGATACATTACAAGTAGTACAACAGTATACGCGGATACGTTACACGTAGTACAACAGTACATGATGGATACGTTACACGTGGTACAATACATGACGGATACGTTACAAGTAATACAACAATACATGATTGATACGTTACACGTAGTATAACAATACATGATTGATACCTTACAGGTAGTACAACAGTATATGATGGATACGTTACACGTAGTACAATAATACATGACGGCTACGTTACAAGTAGTACAACAGTACTTGACAGATACGTTACACGTGGTACAACAGTATATGATGGATACGTTACACGTAGTACAATAATACATGAGAGTAATCTAATTGTACACGTTACATAATTTGAAATAATCCGTGCACTGATATAACTAGGAACTGTTGGCTGTTCTCTTGGCCTACGCAACGATGTTGGATGTTTTTCTGACCCGATCAACGATGTTGGCTTTCTCGTGGCCAGTTCAAAGGTTTTTTTCTTGGCCCTGGTTAAGATCGAGATGTCCTCAAAACGCCTCTTGAGTTATTTATAGACAGAAGCAAGAAAGTGATCACCGAAGAAAGATAAAGGAGTTCATGAATTTTTGTGCATTTACCTTCTGAAGACCTAGTTACACGTAGTACAACAGTACATGACGGATACGTTACACGTAGTACCACGGTACATGACGGATACGTTACACGTAGTACAACGTACATGACGGATACGTTACACGTAGTACCACGGTACATGACGGATACGTCACACGTAGTACAACAGTACATGTTACAAATTAGTCCTGCATCATTGGGTGGATCATCATATTTTTTTTGTTGTAAATAAATAATTTCCATTTTTGTCTAGCAAACTTCGCTTAACCAAATCGTAATCAACTAAGTAGTTAGTATCAAGTTCTTTTTTGTTTTGTTTTTCATGGATCGCCTCCTAGCGAGAAAAATCAATAACTAAATATACCGCAAACAACATTAGTATTAGTGTGTATTATCGAGAGACTGGATTTTCTGATGATTACATCTTTTATAGGAAATGGAGCAGATAAACTGAAACACGATAATTCCAGTGGGATAAATTAACACTGGGAAATCGCTTTCTATTTTGGCTGAATGTTTTTGAAGAGCATAAGTTATCATGGATCCCTGACTCATAAAACTACACACGTTCTTCATGATTATGTCCTGCATTAGAACCACACGTACAAACTAAACAAACCCACGTGTGACACATACGACGTCAAGTGCTAAGCGCAAACTTCCGTTTAAATAAGCAGATATGAAAAGGCGTCAAGCACTGTGCAAGCTGTGACGTCATACTACTAGAGTTCCAGGAACCTAAGAAAATGTTCGTTACAAAAGCCTCAGATGCACGATCACGTTAATTTGAAGTCCATATATGTATCTCTGGTACTGTAGCTGGTCTCACAAACGTTAGTCTACCATCATATATAATAAGTTGTGTTTAATTCTTTTGAAATTTGGATATTTCAGGGGTCATCTTTGTATTTTCAAGTTACAATTTTGTTACAAGGTTTATCTAAACGTTGAAAGACATAAATGTTTATCCAGGGGCTAAATCTTCTGGTCGTTTATAAAACTGAATTTTAATTTTCTAAGCGTTGAACGACATAAATGTTTATCCAGGGGCTAAATCTTCTGGTCATTTATAAGACTAAATTTTAAGAAGTTGGATATTCTGCGTTTCTCTTTACCACTGACTTCCAGTAAAAAATGCTTACCCTACATCTACTTGGTTGATACGATGATTTTTTACTTTGATTCTTTTTTGCCCATTACTATTTCAGATTGGTGACCTACGTGTTCTACTTTCTATAGTATTCACTATGGCAATAGATTGAGTAATAATGATCTGTTATTCCATGGAGAAAAAGAACTTCGAAACATAAAAATATTATAAAAATAACTTTCAGCTACCATAACTAATGTCCAGATAATCTACGGTTATAATAAATTCCTGTAGATTTCGTTATACTATTCAAATAAAAACCAATGAAAAACAAAGATGTTTCTACGCAACTTCTGACTCTAACCAAGATCAACAAATGATGTTCTCACACAACTTTTCTCCCGTCAGTACTCGCCTTTCAACCGTAGGGGCGCTATAATGTTACAATCAATCCCAGTATTCGTTGGTAAAAGAGTAGCCCAAGAATTGGCGGTGGGTGGTTTTGATTAGTGTCTTCACTCTAGTCTATCACTTCAAAATTAGAAACGACTATTGCAGGTACGAACAGAACGAACAAACACAACTTCTGATTCGAACCAATCGAAAATCAGCAGATGATGTTTTTTACACAACTTCTGACTTGGACCAAATGAAAACCCAAAGACATCCCTACACAATTTCGAATTAGAGCCAATTAAAATCAGCAGATGATGTTTTTCACGCAACTTCTGACTTGGACCAATGAAAACCCAAAGACATTCCAACACAATTTCGGATTAGAACCAGTTCAAATCAACAGATGTTTTTACACAATTTCTGACTCGGCCCAATAAATAAAAACAGAGACGTTTCTACACAGCTTCAGATCAGATGCAGCAAAGCACGTAAAAGTTGCGTAATTTCTAAGTGCCACTCCTCTCCACTATAATTTTCTAATTCGCGACAGCCAAATAATATATTAAGTCTATGTTAGAGTAACGTATACTGCAGAAATATATACAGTTTTATTTGACACGTCTAAATACACTGATGTACTACATCCATGCACAAGTTGCTATGTAATTACTTTTCACCACAGCTCATCTCCACACTTAGTCCTTAACAAATAAAACGACCACAGATTCAGATCACGCATAATAATATAAGTTGAAGTTATGATTTGTTTTTCGTACTTTACGCGGGATGTTTTTTTATCTATTATTATTATTACTATAAATGTACACAGTATATACACATACACATAGAATCATGTATAAAACGTCTACGTGTTTGTGTCAGAGGCCAGTTCGTTCATTGTTAAACGTTTTGTCCGCATGAAAGCTGGTATATACCCACCACCCTTGACATATTATTTTCACGTTCTTCTTCACAAAGGCTGGACGAATCTACTGTAATTTTAAAAGGGGCGGTCACCTGTAAAAAGCGAGAATGAATATAGCAAGGCGAGTTCCTTGCACTAACATTAACAAAAGACCCCCCCCCCTCATCTCCTTCGCCCAACTAAACATAACTTTCCTCAAAAACGTTTTGATTCGATTCTTGTCTGTGATTCCCCGTCATTGTATGGACACACCTAAAAATTCTGTATGTAATTGAAATTGCTCTGATATATTAAGATAAACACCGCCATATAATTTTCGAAACAATAGGTTTCGTCACGTACGTAATAGGTTTCAGTTCCTGTGTAATAGGTTTTAAAACAATGATTCTTTTTTTTTATCTTCTTTAGTGAAATTTGAAATGCACCCCCAGTGGAATTTTACAGCTCAATAAGAACTTTTCAGCCATCTAGTTTTAAATTATTAGTATTTAGACTGAGGTGATTGTATAGTCTAGTAGCTGTTATAATGACTGATATACGATCGCCACAACCTTATCGTAAGTATTCAATCCAGTTCTTTATTAGCTTTAATAGATCTAAAAAAAGCAAAAATCCCAAGCACCAAAAGTATTAATATTTTGGGTCAACTTGTAACTGTATAAAAAAATTACTTCCCCCAAAATAAGAGTTGCATGATAAATTCTGTACGTAATACTGTTGTAATGACATTTCCTCACGTTTTACTTTCTACCACACAATAACCGATGTGGTGTGAATGATTATTGGCTACCATGTAAAACAACAAAGTTATGAAACCTACATCGCACGTTACCTGATACTTTTACTAGAAACACACGATTTATTCCAAAAATATATGTAATTTGAATTTAAAATTGTTGAATCAATTTCAGTCTGCTATATAACATTTACTGAACTAAACGGCCAGATCAAAAGGTCATGGAATTCAGGTACATCCGTCTACAGAATTCAGGTACACCTGTCTACAGAATTCAGGTACACCTGTCTACAGAATTCAGGTACACCCGTTTACAATTTTGAATTACTGTAAGACAAACAAAAGTTTTGTCCATCTCTTTGACACGAATATATTAACAAGGTTTCTATATCCGTGGTAGACGCAGCCTTATAGCACATTTTGTAGCTTTGTGCTTAACAACAAACAAAATGTTTATCGAGTGTTTATTTTCAGGCCATTATGAAATCTTTATATAAAGTAAAAATCAGAATGCCACTAACTAGTTAACTGACATTTTTAAATCTATATCATGTAAAAAAAAATAAAAATATAGCGTGAAACAAAGTACATCAGATTCTATTAGCACTGCAGGCGTAACGGATTTCGAAGAACGATGTCTCAGTATGACGCATCAACCCATGAGTAACGACTGTGTAAACCTGTTTAGTCAGTGCTCACGGTACAAAAAACATGCATTCACATTGCACCTCGGCCTCAACAGAAACACACATATCTATTATTATTACAACAATCATCCCCCTTCTCCGTCGTTCACAACAAACTTGTTGATGTATAGAATGATGCGGCTTTATTCTCCATCTTCTAACAGAATTGGCCCCTTTCTTCTTAAGCTTTATCAAAAAGTTTCTCTGTCAGTGAAACTCTTTAGCAACTCAAAGAAGCTAAGCCTCATTGACATCGTTGTTTGTAGTTAACAATGGAAGTGACTAAGCAGTTACTGCACGTATCAAACGTATTTACATATTTTCCAAAAAATACACTCTGCAGATATAAATAAGCCTTTTGCCATATTTCTCTTATTGTGTTAACCTTAAACATTTTACTAGTAATATGTTTCGCAACGTGTTTAAATTCAATACGAATTTTAATTTCGTTCAAACAGTTAAAGCTCCTGTAAGTTGTAGGTTGTATTGTTTACAAACGAATCACACAGCACTCCTCAGAACTACATAAAAATCAGACTTGAACAGCCGATAAGTTAAGATCTAGTTGAAGGTATTCGTCGTTGTTTTTTTTTTTTGCGTGACACTCTGACTCTGAGAGTGAGAGAGGTAATACAACACACACATATAAAATTCAAATTTGATTAGCAATGTAGCAACGGACGTTCGAAAAAGCAATTATCTTACCTTTTAACGTTTTATTCCTTTTTGTTAGTGTCAGTCGATGAATTAACACAGGTTTTCACGAACAACTTTCGGTTACTTGGTCAGCGACAAGATATCTTTCCAGCATTGTTTTCATTTTATCTATAGTATCATACCTTCTCTGTTAGTATTATGACCGTGTTATGTATCTGTCAAACTAAGGCAACAAGAGTTTATATATAATCAAACTAATTATATAGTTATCGTGCTGTTTAGAAATGGAGCACACGTTACAGCTTGCCCTCGAACATTCAATCAGTTACACAAGGTTAACATTCTTATTCCAACCGTTTCTCTAGACTAACACTGTAACAGTAACTTGCCCCAGACTCGAGTTAACCACAGTGCCAACCGACTTTTCAGGAGACATGACGTCATACTGACTAAGGGCCAATGGGAAGAGTTTGTTTTTCGGCACGAAGGGCGATCGTGACTTCGGGAAGTAGTCTGTCATTAAAAGAAAACGTAAGTGTCATTGATAGTCGATTAATACATAATTCTGACGATGTATTAATGATGTGTAGTGACTGAACATCAGCGACGTGTAAGTGAACAGCTAATCACATCATGTCGTGAGAACAAATAGTTCTTACTTAGTTTCTCTTCAAGTGGAAGAATAAGCAGTCGTTAATAATGTATCTAAGTAATTCCATGTGTTCGATAAAAAAATACTATTTGTTGATCGGATCCTGGGTGATTACTGGTACTAAGTTATTAAACATGAACTTATCCTATATTCCTTTGGACACTTGATGGTGTCAATTGAATAAACATTAACTGAGGATGTTTTTATTGACACTTATGGTGTCAGGTGAATAAACATTAACTGGTCATTTTTTCTTGGACACTTGATGGTGTCAATTGAATAAACATTAACTGAGGATGTTTTTATTGACACTTATGGTGTCAGGTGAATTAAACATTAACTGGTCATTTGTTCTTGGACACTTGATGGTGTCAATTGAATAAACATTAACTGAGGATGTTTTTCTTGACACTTATGGTGTCAGGTGAATAAACATTAACTGGTCATTTGTTCTTGGACACTTGATGGTGTCAGGTGAATAAACATTAACTGGTCATTTGTTCTTGGACACTTGATGGTGTCAGGTGAATAAACATTAACTGGTCATTTGTTCTTGGACACTTGATGGTGTCAGGTGAATAAACATTAACTGATCATATATTTCTGAACGCTTGGTACTGTCAGGTGAATAAGCATTAATTGATCATTTATTTCTGGACACTTGGTAGTGTCAGGTGAATAAACATTAACTGATCATATATTCCTGAACGCTTGGTACTGTCAGGTGAATAAGCATTAATTGATCATTTATTTCTGGACACTTGGTAGTGTCAGGTGATTAACCATTAACTGATATGTTCCTGAGCACTTGGTGGTGTCAGGTGACTAAGTATTAACTGGTCATTTGTTTCTCAGCACTAGGTGATGTCAGGTGACTAAGTATTTACTAGTCATTTGTTTCTGAGCACTTGGTAGTGTCAGGTGAACAAACGTTAACTGATCGTATGTACATAAGAAATGTTTCACGATGTATGCCTACATTCGTACGTTTGTCGGGTGAAAAGGGAATAATTGTTAATGTTTGCCTGAATACTTTCTGGTATGGAATGAAGAAGTAGCCATTAAGTTTGTGGCAATCTTTCCTAGCAAGTGGAGCCTTGAATAGATTAGCAAGTTTAATTAAGGTGAAGTTTTCCTGTACTAAGCTGAACGTTAAAAATCTTAAACGCAATTTATCAACTTTCCAAAGCAATTGTTTCCTACTGGATAAACTTATTGATTAATGAGTCGATTCTGAACAACCAGCAAACTTTAAGGGCTTTGTTGATTAAAAAACAATAATAAAGTCGTTTGTTCTAAATGAAAACACATGCTACATTTCTTGTAAATTAAATAATATTATCGTTTTCTATGACAGCGAATTTACTAATTATTTATCGTATTTGAGAGTTGGTACTATACGGTTTGGTACAGTTGGTGCTACACTGGTTGATACAATTGGTATTATACGGTTCGTACTGAAGAAAATCATACGAAAACGATTTAAGATCAATTTTGCTGTTGTTTATTTCAAAACAATAGCTATATATATAACTATTCTCTAAATGACTCAATTGTAAAGCTTTTTGTCCCCCACCTCTATAACCAATTATAAATTCAAACTATGTATAGATAGTCCTTCTACAAATACAGAATAAAACATTTGGTTTTCATCATTTATGTTGTCTGTTTTAGAGGTAGAACAAGCAGTACTTTTGCGTGAGACTCAGGTTCGATCACCGTTAGTCTCTTGTACTCAAGTAATAATGTTTTGTAAGATTTCAAACTATCACATTTACTATACAAAACATTATGTGGTGCAACGAAACCATTCCTCTGGCTCTTACCCTAAATGCAAATAGACAATGATACGAGAAGTTTGAAAATTTTGCGGTTTTGATTACATTATTTTTACTTTGAGTATTGTTGGCTTGTGTAACAGTTTTTCGATGCCTCGTTTTGTCACAAAGTCTGTTGTTTCTACAATGATATAAGTAAACTACGTTACTTCATGAACTATAGAAGGATTCTTTGATCACACACATTAACATAGAAGGGGATCTAGTCCCCCTATGAAGAAGTTCCACGACTTTTCGCCGCTTCATTTAACAACTTTTCTTAATACTGTGATACAAGAATCACATCAATGATTTGCTTGTTTATTTGTTTTGAATTTCGTGCAAAGCTACACGAGGGCTATCTGCTCTAACCGTCCCTAATTTAGCAATGAGAGACTAGAGGAAAGACAACTACTCATCACCACCCACCGCCAACTCTTGGGCTACTCTTTTACCAACGGATAGTGGGATTGACCGTCACAGTATAACGTCCCCACGACTGAAAGGGCGAGCATGTTTGAAGGGATGGGGCTAGTTATTTGTTCCAACATGCTGTCACAAAGGAAGCAGAACAAGCATGCAGCACGTAAAGCAATAGGAAGCAACCATCAGAACCCATCAGCCTCCCTGTTGTTATGCCCTCATTGAGCCAGACATTTTCAAGCTAGGATCGGGATAATCTGTCACCCCCTAAACACACAAAATCAATGGATGATGATGAAGATGGTCCTCTTCAATCATGAAGGACGAACAACAACAGGAACCTTGATGTAGTAAAGAACGGTGCTCTGGGGCTAGTTATTTGGTCCAATATGAAGTGATGGATGTTTTCTGTATAAATAATAGGAACCTGGATGTAGTAAAGGATGGCTCTCTGGGGTCACTTATCTAGCTGGTCTGCGATTAAGAAAATAAGGTCACCGATGTATAACATGAGATCCAACAGATTTATCTACACTTCTGAAGTACATTTTTAAAATGTTTTGAATGAAGAGATAGGGAAGAAAAATACCCAAGAGTTTTGAATCGCTAACAAATTTTATGGATGTTATAATTGCTAGGGTACTCTATGGTGGTAGAAATGGCGTCCTGGGGTGCGAAATATTTGTTATAGGTTAAGTTGAAAAACAATTCAACAAAGCAATCTTTATGAGTAAACATTAAGCGATGAATAAACAAGTGTGGCAGGTGTCGTGTTGCAGCACAGTTCTATATGAGTGGGATTCCGAGAAAGTTTTCCCTCCTTTACATTCATATATAAATTATAGATTAAAGACAGGTTTTTGATACAGATCCAGTGAACCATATACCGTTATACGTTTGGGATTTTCAACGTAAATAGCACCTTCTGCGACACATGAGCTAAACAGCCAGATAAGAGATCCCCAAGGTTGAGACATAGACTTCTCTAATTTAGACATGCTAACTAGAAGGAGTGCCAACCAGCCAGCAGTATTCATCGCCTAAAGGACTACACTTAATTAAATATAAGGATTGGATATTACAGCTTAACACTCCCACAGCTGAAAGTGCGAAGCATGTTAAATAGTATATCGTGGCCCGAACCTTGGACCTTTCGATTCGAAAGCCCCGTAAATAACCACTAGGCCACGCCTGCTCAATAAATATTTATATAAATATAACAGTACCATCTGTTGTATTTCCATGTAACTACTTCACAGGGTGTTGATGGATCTTCACTAAAATTGGCATGCGAGGGTACATACAAATTTTCATTTTTACATTTTACGGTTTTTATGGGCGTTTTTTAACACTACGTCGCCCCATGTAGATGGATCATCACCAAATTTGGTATAGAGCTTCAGTGGGTCCATGGGGAGATACATACAAATTTGTGGTTTCACATTTTGCGTTTTGCAGTTTTATGTGCGTTTTTGCCTTTCTTTTTTTTTTTTACAATTACATATAAAGGAAGTAACTTTTCATGCTCTAAGATAACCGCCCCCAGTGGCACAGCGGTATGTCTGCGGGCTTACATCGTTAGAAACCGGGTTTCGATACCCGTGGTGGACAGAGCACAGATAGCCCATTGTGCAGCTTTGTGCTTAACTACAAAGAAGCTAAACTTAAGATAACCTTTCATTAATCATGAATTTACATAACTTCCGTCTAGGGGACGGGTACTCCAGCTAGTATATTAATAGATTCTAACGAAGTAAATAGTACTGGTCAAGCTGCTATATTCTGCACAGCTTACGTCTGTAGTTTTAAATGACAATGGCTCCTAAGTGTAGCGTTCTGGAAAGTTTTTGATTTATCAGTTTTCTAGTGGTAATAAGGAAAGCTGAAACAATCTTAATGTTCCGAGTTTGCATAATCATCTTGACTTGTGAACTGATATTATTTTATTTTCGTTGAATTTCTGCTTCAATAATAATTTTGCACAGCTCATTCGTTCTATGCCATTTCACTGATAAAAACAATTAATGAAAAAGGCAGATTTGTCAGGAACTCACTCAGTGACGTCAAGGTTTTCTAATAATGAGGAAAAATTCAAGATCACTTTCCATTTGCATGTCATCAAACTCAGCAGGCGTCGCTGTTCGAAAAATAATTACTTCGTTTTTCATTAGAAATACGCTGCATGCCACTCGTAAACTAGTTATAGCCTTCAAGATAGTGGACCACGACTAATCTCTAATGATCACGAATTCGAGAGTCCTTGGATCATGATCTTTTTTTTTTTGACACCTTAGAAATTACGTTTTCTCCTGAACAAGAAAAACTTTGAAAATCGTTTTAAAAATTTAAGTAAATAAATTACATTTGTTAAACGTTAATGTTCTTTTCACATTGATTGACTTAAATAACAAATTTCAGATATTCCGTAATTATGATTTGCTTAATAACCGGTCACTGTTTCAAAACCTTGAAA